AATAATAATAATAATAAAGCAAGAGACTAAAATGGCTGTTGCTTTTAGATTTACATCTTTAAGATATATTCTCTTACATATACTACTTTGCAGAGAGTAGGCATTTAATACATGTTTGGTGATAAAGATCTGTGAACATAAAATACAAAAGAATGATTAAATAAAACATGAAATGAATTGATGTTGCCCAATGAAGAGCTTCGCACAGAGTAGGCACTCAATAAATGTTTGTTGATTATATCAGATTATAAACAGATTATATCTGATACATCAGATTATAAACTTAAAATACAGAAGAGCTATGATTAAAGAAAGTATGTAGTGAGTTGATGTTGCTAAACACACTCATTAACAAAGATTGTCAATGATTTTCGGAAGGCCACTAATGCCAAATAATGTAAATTCAAATGGTATAAGCACTAAGTGACTATAGCCAATAGCAGCATTTATTGAGTTATTACTATGTGCCAAGCACACACAAAGTGCTTTATATAGATTTCATCCAACCTTCAAAAGAGCCTGGTGAAATGTGATAATCTCCATTTCAAATGATAAAACTGAGGTCCAGAAACTTCCTAATTTACCCAAAGTTACAATGAAATAACTGACAGAGCCAGGTTTCAAGCCTAGGTTTGCCATACTCAAGAACTCTTGCTCTTAAACATTACAACGTACTGACCGTGCACGCACGCTCTCACCCATACCTACAGTCCAACTAAACTAATTGCATTTATTTTCAGGTTGGAATCTGAAACACCTTCCCATTTTTCTATTTCAAAATTTTATGTGTGCTTATCTCTATTTTCCTATGATGAACATGTATTGTCTTCTTTTTTAAATTTTTTGTTTTGTTTTTGAGATGGAGTTTCACTTTTGTCACTCAGGCAGCAGTGCAATGACACAATCTTGGCTCACTGCAACCTCCGCCTCCCAGATTCAGGCGATTCCCCTGCCTCAGCTTCCTGAGTAGCTGGGATTACAAGTGCCCACCACCACGCCCAGCTAATTTTTGTATTTTTAGTAGAGACAGGATTTCGCCATGTTGGCCAGGCTGGTCTTGAACTCCTGACCTCAAGTGATCCACCCACCTCAGCCTCCCAAAGTGGTGCTGGGAGTATAGGCATGAGCCACTGCGCCTGGCAGATTTTTTTTTTTTTTTTTTTGGAGACAGGGTCTCACTGTGTTGCACTGACTGGAATACAGTGGCACAATCATAGCTCACTATAGCCTCAAACTCTTCAAACTCCTCAAGGTGGGAGGATCGCTTGATCCTTCCACCTTAGCCTCCCAAGCTAGGATGAAAGGTACACACGCCACTACACCCAACTAACCCACCCTCTCTCTCTCCCTCCCTCCCTCCTTTTTCTTTCTTTCTTTTTTTTTTTTTTAGAGATAGGCTCTCACTATGTTACCCAGGCTCATCTCAATTTCCTGGCCTCAAACAATCCTCCCACCATGGCCTCCCAAAGAGCTGAGATTATAAGGCATGACCCACCACACATGGCCATATATTGTCTCTATAACAAGAAAAGGTCTTTATTAAAATGTTTCATTTAGCATACAACATAATCAAGATATAAACACTGTCATAGTATCTCCAGTATGATCCAGAGAAGAGAGTGTCTGGACCCACAAACAAGAGCATCTAACTGTGGGATAGGTGTGTCTCTCCAGTGAAGATGAATGGACTGGGATATCATGCTTGATCATATCAGCCATGAAAAGGGCCAGCTAAGTCCCCTTGACCTCATCCTATACTTTTCAAACAACAACCTGATTATAATTTGACTTCCTATGTAGATTTTTCTCCAAAAAAAAAAAAAAAAAAAAAAAAGGAATGTTCTTTTGAGTACCCTAATGCCACTAGTAAGATAGTCTCTTAAGAACTGAAACTATCTTGGCTAGATGCTTATCCAAGGCAAACACGCAATTCCAATCTTTAGCAGTTATAGCATAAAAATACAAAGCATGGAATTTAAAAGTATCCTTAAAATAGCTATATAAAACATTTAACTCCAAGCAAGTGTCTCCTAAGAAATAATGAGAAGATATTTGGAGTAAAAGTTGAGCATCCTTAATCCAAAATTCCAAAATCCCAAATACTCCAAAACCTGAAACTTTTTGAGTGCTGGCATGACACCACAAGTGGAAAATTCCAGCACAAAAGCACTTAACACAAACTTTGTTTCATGAACAAAGTTACAAAAAATATTGTATGAAATTACCTTTAAACTATGTGACTCAGGTCATATCCCTAAGATATCTCATTATGTTTTTGCAAATATTCCAAAATCTGAAAAAATCCGAAATCTGAAACACTTCTAGTCCCAAGCATTTTGAATACGGGATGCTGAATACGGGATGCTGAACCACTATGGTGTTTACAACATATGGGCTATGGATAAAGGGGGCCACCATTTAAATTTCTCATTTTTGACATTTTTCTCCTTTCTCCTTAAAAAGAAAAGTCTAATTATCTGTATCAACTTGGAAGAATCTGTCATTTGATGACTTATGTACTTGTATAGTTTATCTGGTATTCATTTTACCTTGGAAAAATCCAGAACAGCACTTTTTAAAACAAGTTGCAGCAATAATGGGAATGTTCTAGATCTGTGCTATATAATTCAGTAGCCATAAGCCATATGAAACTACTGAGCACTCAAAATGTATCTACTTTAAGTATGGAATAATTTTTAAATCTATTTAATTTTAATTTAAATAACCATATGAAACTATTGAGTACTTGAAATGTGGCTAGTATAACTGAGGAATTTTTAAATTTCATGTAATTTTAATTAGTTTAAATAGCCACATGTGGCTAGTAGCTACTATACTGAACAGATCTGGCCTAGAAGAATTCTGAGATATTATTTATATCAATTCTCTCTTCTTTTTTTTTTAAGAACTGAGAAAACAAAGCCCATTAATCCACAGCTTACTTCTGGTTACTCATTAATATAAAATTACACTTTGAAATTTTGCAAGGTCGATAAAATCGCACATGAAGTGCAGAGCATGGCCACGGTTGCAAGACTCCTACCTGGAAGTAGTTGCAGTGTGCATAGGAAGAGGCAGTGGGAGTGACACAACTACTTAGAGCATCCATGTGGGTAGGAGAACAGCACTGTAGCACAGCTGGAACAAATTCAAACACAGAAAAGCCATCAACCACAATACACTTCTATAGCATTCAAGGAGCTCCCCTCTTTCAACCTGGAAAGAAATCCAAATTTGAAGAACTTCCTTTGTATGTCTAACAAAATATTTAGTCCAATTAGGTGGTGTTATTTATTGAAAACAACACAGTAACAAAATAATTTTAAAGGCCTTTAAAAGGTTCATGTCTAATGTCTATTTTTGTAAATGATTTAACACCTAAGCATTTTGTTATCTTTCTAACCATATATTTTTATTGAAAGTAATTTCATTTTATTGAAAATAGAGGAATATATTGAAATTCCAAAATAAGTATTTCAATCATTTCAACAGTAACCACTATTTGGAGGGTGGAGTGTTTTAAAAGAGTAAAATAAGTACGAAATATTCTCCAAGTGTTCCACCATTAAACAATGCATCCAGTAGAAATGTATACAAAAATGTTTTAATCATTTAGGCAAGTGGTTAGGAATGCAGATCATTGAGCCAGACTGCCTGGTTTTGGAGCCCAGCTCCACCAGCCTGGCTTTACAGCCCAGTGTAAATTTGAGCAAGGTTAATCTCTGTGTGCCTCAGTTTCTGCATCCTATTAAAATAGAGATAACAACAGAATAATGGGACCTACCAAATATGGTTGTTATGAGGAATAAATGAGCTAATATCCATAAAGAACTTAGAAGAGTACTAGTACACAGTAAGCAATCAATAAGTGTTAGCTGCTATTATTTTAACAGAAGAAACACATTTTCAAAACTTTCCCTTTATAGTCAGGACACTGTGAAAAGCCTGAACTCTTGGTATTAGCAAAGTTACTTACAGATGGAGTCTTAATAATAGGTTGAGTCTGCTTTTTTGTAGAGACTCTCCAGTATAAGTGAGAATCAGTTATTAATAGCACAACTGTGGATTAAACGGAGGATGATGTATGTTGAGCACCTACCCTGTTTCAGGCACAGTAGTAAATGCTTTACATATATTGCCTTTACAAAACAAGTAAACTAAAGCTCAGTGATATTAAGTAATTTGCCAAAAGTCACAAAGCGGGAAGTGAGAGTCAGTAATTAAACTCCAAAGCACACGCTCTTTAATATACCACAATACAGCCAGGCATGGTGGCTCACTCCTGTAGTCCCGGCACTTTGGGAGGCTGAGGCAGGCGAATCCCTTCAGCCCGGGAGTTTGAGACCAGCCTGGGCAACATGGTGAAACCCCATGTCTACAAAAAATACAAAAATCAGCCAGGCATGGTGGCAAATGTCTGTAGTCCCAGCTACTCGGGAGGCTGAGGTGGGAGGATCATTTGAGCCCAGGCGGTAGAGGCTGCAGTGAGCTGTGATTGTGCCCCTCACTCCAGCCTGGGTGACAGAGTAAGACCCTATGTCCAAAAAAAAAATTGTATATATCTCACAATAATTCCCTAAGCTAAACCCTCTTCCTGAAATGTAACATTTGTAGTTTTACTAGAATTCTACTTGCCGAATATCTTTAAAGGTGTCTTTATCAATAAGGTGGCAACTCTCCCTTTTTATGTCCACATTTTTCATATTTTGAGTGTGCTAATAAAATTACTGATCTCATTATTTAATCTTTAAAGGTAAATTGACCTAAGGATTATAAAAAAATGAACCGAAATGCTTCCCTATTTCTCCATGAATATTGATTTTTAAAACATCAGAATTTCATGAAGATACAGTAGAAATAAATATTTTCTCTTTGTATCATGAGCAATTTAACCACTAAATTTTGCACACAGAAAGAAAACTTGAAATAATGGGCAAAATTATAGTTCAGACATAAATATAAAGGTTATTTTTTGGATGACATATTTTTTAACAATTTTGGTGACTTTAAAAAGCCATATATTACTAAGATTGCCTCATAAAATTCAAGTTGTTATCATTTCCAATATAGGTTAGCAGAACAGGTTCTTAGACTTGATCCTTTGAAGGTTATTCAAATATATATATTAAATGTTTTGGATTTGAATTAGATTTCCCAAAGTGTCTGACAGCACAAATATCCTAGGAAATCAACTGAATCCAAATAGCTAAACACCAAGCAAGATCTGCAGAGCTTGCCAAAACTGCGGAAGGGAAAAAAAAACTCTTTTTCCCCTAGAGTTACAGCAGCTAAGGAAAATCTAGCCACCTAGCGGTAGAGAAAGACTTGGGAGCTGCAGGTCCATTCCATCAGGGTACCAAAAAGCAGCGTTTTGTTACAAATAAATCAATAAAAGGTGTTAGTTTTATTGTTTGGAAGTTTCTGACTCCATTGGTTACACATTTTGAATAGGTATAAAAATGTACTTTAAAATAAATTTCTCAGAGAAATAAACTACAATATATAACAGAGAATATGTTAATATATTTTTGATAGCTTGATAGCTGAGTTTGTTTCTCAGGAAACAGCAAAAAAGTAAATGTTCTTTAAAGTATCCAGTAACAAATGGAAAGCAAAACAGTACCTGTATGAAGAAAATGAGGACTTCAATAGATTACACTCCAAAAAGATTCCTCAATGGCTATTCCTTACCACTGTAGTCCTATTTTGTATAGTCAACAAAATAGAACAAAGGTATTAGTAAGTTTACTGAATATGAAAACTTAGGCATAGAAATTTGACTATGTGCCTAGTATATGAAAAAATAATCTACTGTGCATTATGAAAGCACTGACATTTATAAAACTTAGTTTATCACTATGTCCTAAGATACATTCATCTGCATAAAGAACTTTCAGTGTCTTCCTGAAGGCAGTGTTCAGTTGAGGCATTAAATTCCATGTAGAAAGAAAAACTGAAAATAATTTAAAAAATTCCATTTCAGATATAAATATAGGCATTAATGACATTTTCAAAAAATTTCTAAGTAATAAAAATGTTAAGTCAGAGTTACTAAAAATTATTGCTCCTGCTATAGGTGAGGCAAACAAGTTAATGTACTTTATCCTACGGAAGTGATTCAAATATAGAATCAAAATATTTCGAATTTGAATCTACTCCAGAATAGTATAATGTCAACAGTAAGAAAATACCCCATAATATAAATGCTCAAAAGAAAAAATACATCATAATAGTATATTTAATTTCAAGATAAGTTCTTACAGCAACTAGAACCCCAGTATCTCCTCATTTATGGTGAGGTAAAGAAAAGGTCTTCTGAGTTTATACCTCAAAGTGAAAGCAGGCATTTGAAAAGATATCTGTACACCCATGTTCACCATAGCAGAATTTACAACAGCCAAAAGATAGAAGCAACTCAGTATCCATCAACAGATGAGTGGATGAACAAAATGTGTTATATATATACAATGGAATATTATCCAGCCTTTAAAAGGAAGAAAATTCTGACACATACTATAATATAGATGAATCTTAAAGACATTAAGTGAAATAAGCCAGTCACAAAAGGACAAATATTATACGATTCCTCATGTAAGGTTCCTAGAATAGTCAAATTCATATATACAAAAAATAAATTAGAGATTACCAAGGGTTGGGAGAAACTATTGCTTAATGGGTACCGAGTTTCATTTGGGTGATAAAAAGTTTAGGAAACGATGGTGAGGGTTGCACGATATTGTGAATGTAAGTAGTGTCAATGAATTATATATTTAAAAATGGTTAAGATGGTAAATTTGGCCGGGCGCAGTAGCTCACATCTGTAATCCCAGCACGCTGGGAGGCCAAGGCGGGCAGATCACAAGGTCAGGAGTTTGAGACCAGCCTGACCAAGATGGTGAAACCCTGCCTCTACTAAAAATACAAAAATTAGCTGGGCGTGGTAGCACACGCCTGTAATCCCAGCTACTCAGGAGGCTGGGGCAGGAGAATCGCTTGAACCTGGGAAGCAGAGGTTGCAGTGAGCCGAGATCGCACCACTGCACTCCAGTCTGGGTGACAGAGTAAGACTCCATCTCAAAAAAAAAAGATGATAAATTTATATATTAAATATATGATTCCACTTATATTAGATATTTAGAATGGTCAAATTCACAGAGACAGAAAACAGAACAGTGGTTGCTAGGGACAACCTCTCCACCTCAGGGACAGGTTGGCATTCTCTAATGGGCAGTTAGTGGTTAACAGGTACAGAGTTTCAGTTGGGGAAGATGAAAAAGTTCTGGAGATAGACAGTGGTGATGGTGAATGTACTTAATGCCTCAAAACAGTACCCTGAAAAATAGTTAAAGTGGTTAAGTTTTATGTTACGTATATTGTTTCACAATTTTTTAAAAAGGTAAATATGATTGTATTTTTGCTTAGTTTCTTCTAGCAGAGGACAGAGAGAGATTCCTGGTGCTAAGTGCCTCTTTCCCATAAGCACAAAATGAAGTACTTTCAGAGGAGCAATACAGACTGCCTGAGAACAACAGTAACAGCACCAAAAACCTCTTATAATTCTATATTCTATATTTATGTACATTAATGTAGGATTAGAAGCCTAAAGATCACACCTATAGAATTTAAATGTACTTTAAAACAACAATCAGTAACTCTTTTTGCCCAAGGGCCAATTCAGAAAAATCTTAAATGATAGGAGATACACACACACACACACATATATACACACACACATATATATATTTTTTAACCTAGAACTGCATGCCAAGGTGGATATTTTCTTTTTTTTTTTCCTTTTCTTTCCTTTTTTTTTTTTTTTTTTTTTTTTTCCTTTTTTTTTCTTTTTTTTTTTTTTTTTTTTTTTGAGACACAATCTTGCTCTGTTGCCCAGATTGGTCTCGAACTCCAGGCTTCAAGCAAGCCTCTTGCCTCTCGGCCTCTGAAGGTGCAGGGTTTGCAGGTATGAGCCACCACACCTGGTCAGATATATATTTTCTAATAAAAATTAAAAATATCACGCGTATCTTGGGGGAAAGCTTATATTCTTATAAATTCTCTTAGTTAGCCTTTAAAGTGTTAATGTCTAGGCTTATTTACTTTTTTGAGACAGGGTCTTGATCCGTTGCCCAGGCTGGAGT